TAGTAACATTTTTTAAAAACTATGATTAAGAGTAAATAGCATTCGAAAATAATAAAGTTAAAATAATCAATGACGCGAATTAGAAACTGCACCGATCGAGGCAAGAAGCCAGTCTACAAGATTGCCCGCAACCGTATTTAGCGAGCTAACATCGGCGAGTTTCAGTGGTGGGCCAGCACCCGCAGGATGGTGTTGGGGTGGTCTTGTACGTGCTCAAGTAGCAAGGCGCAGCGCTTGCGCATGATTGCAGGGAATACGTTTGTGTGAGCATCCGCGAACATGAGCACTGCAGTAGCGCGGCAGGTCCTTCAGGATCCTGTATTCGTTATTATATTGTATACGCAGGTTGCGGTATGCCTTTGCGTATAGTTCACCCACAGACTGCACACGTAAAAGGACTGGCAATAAGTTTAAAAATTCGTTTGGTTTACTTGATTATGGCACAGATACATTACCAAGTTAAGCGTTAACTTGGTTACGAATCCAATAACCAAAATATTAGCTGACTTGAATTGAGTGTAAACTTTGGTGAGGATTGAAATTCAGTAAAAAAGCACGCAATACAACAATCCGGATTTGATCCCCGCCAGGTCAATGAGATTGTTGGTTGCAATTTTAAGCGCTGATTTATCACGTGCTCGGCGTTTGAGGAAAAAATCATGAAGAAACCTGCATGATTAAAAAATAAAATTAAAAGTATTTCAAAGACATGTGAAGTCCAAACCAATGCATACATAATGTCCAAACATAATGGATACATTCTTGTCATTACCCATAGTGGGCATACATATGGGTAGAGCATATAGGCTGTAATATCAAGATTTAAACCTTAAAAAGATCGTAGAACTATTTATCAAATGTTTGATATAATTACTGTAAACAGGTACTACCTACATTGGGGCAAAATAAATAGTTCTTCTAATTACTATGGTTTCAAATTACAACCTTCGAAAATACACATTTATTTTATGCAAACATCAAATAAAACAGATTTTTTACGAATTTTATTGCATTCATTTTTGTAAAATAAAGATGATTAAGGACCAACTAGCACACAGTTAACCTGATAGTGGATATTGTGGTCTATAGACCTACATCTGTCATCGACTCGAAATGCAGATGCGTTGTCACACCAGTAAGTAAGATGAAATGCCTAGTTTTCACTAATGAGTATCTGCGGTTCTTTACACTCACAGCAGCATGAAGCAGCTATTTTACATTAGTATTTTGCTAGAACATGGTCCTGCCCGGTCAAACCGACTATTCGTGCTGTAACGATATAGCTGCCAGCTATTAATGATTTCTTTTATATTTACGTAAACACTACACATTGATTAAAACTACTTTTACAGATTTTATTGCGCTTAATTTACTTAATTTTAATTTCCATACGTTGTTTCATTAAAAGCTACAACTATAATAAATTAAATTTCATCAAATGAATTTGGCCACGGGTTAAATTATAGTAATCTATCATAGGCGGCAGTTAAACGGAATTATCTTAAACTTCAAATTGTTGTTTTTAGTTGGAAATCTGCGTACATCTGGTATCCCAAAAATGCCACTATTCCGAATAGTTTGTTGACCCATGCATTGTCCAATGATGTGTAATAGATTTTGCCATAATTACTACGCTAGGCAGGCGGATACCGCCCCCGGTAGTTAAAAGGACGTATCTACATTTTTTTTTTCAAGAACAGAGTTATATATATTGCCAGAATGAGGAAAATAAGGCGGATCAGCGTATAATTTTTAATTTTAGCTTTCTTGCTTAGTTTCGGATTTACCGATAACCAAAAAGACGTATCTACATCTTTAAATGTGGTCTTACTAAGAAGTTAAAACGCATCTAACAAACACTTAAATAAAAAGACGTATTTCTGTATATGTCTCTTATTTTATTAAGAATTCTCTGTTGTTACGATAGTAAAAAAGTCACTTCTACATATGAGTTTCGCAGCGTAAGATAATAAAACGTAGCTGACCATTTACGTTTTTTTGTTTTAACTTTATCGTATGCCTATACTGAGCAAAAAAGACATTTATACCAGATGCGTCCTTCATTTTATGTACATGGTGTAGATGCGTTTTATTTTAATAAGGAGTCGAAAAGTTTGTCACTAACATACTTAATACAAAGGCCGCAAATGGTAGAGACGTCTTTTCTATTTAGTTTTCATATGTATGGCGGGATGCGAGAGGAAGGAAGGAAGAGGAAGTGTTCGACATTCTGTCAGTTGTGCCCATAGATAAATACACTATATACCAGGTTGCGCCTACGCGGCTACTTATATAAATAATGTACTCTGTGGCGGCTACCGAGGGAAGACGAAGCAGCTGCGCCTCGTTCATTTCCCAAATTAAAGTAATTTTGTAAATAATGCTGTTTTAATACTTTCTGTGCATTTTAACGGTCAGGTTTTCGTCATAATGTTATTTTATTATTGTATAGTGTTTTAATTACTTGCGGATAGTCCAGTAATATTTATTAATATTATATTTTATCAAACTATCAACGATTTACACTCCAATTCAGTTATGTAATTAAATTTAATGATTTTTGTGTCTATTTTAGTATTATAAAAAATAAAAATATAAATTTCTTCGCAACCTTCCGCCAAACAAATACAATGATGTGTCTTACCTGGATTAGTGGTGACGGAGTTAGTGCATGCAATTGAGGGAGGGCGGGAGGTGCTCTTCAATCCAGTTAAGACACATCATTGTATTTGTTTGGCGGAAGGTTGCGAAGAAATTTATATTTTTATTTTTTATTATAATGGATTTCCGCAAAGTAACGCCTAATTCTATCAATTATATTTTAGTATTAATAAATAATACTAAAATAGACACGATAATATAACTTATTTTATATAATTTATACATATTTTGTATAATATTTTGATACTTTTCTAGTAAAGTTGTGAATTTCATTGTACTTATTTTGATAGAGGGTAGATTTCCTTATATATACAATGTACTCTGTGGGGTAGATGTTAGTGGATAATTATTTATAATACCTAGTAACGTTAAATTGGTGAAGTAAGTAACAATTTTTTCATTACTGTTACTGTGTGTTAAGAAAATTAGTCAATATAACTTATTTTTTGTTACGATATATCATTTGAAGTTTCATAACTACATAAATGATATAAGTATCAAACTCTATTTTATATTATAAAAGCAAAAGGGAAATATATAGCCTGCCATATTATATAAAATAGAAGGGAATTTTGGTATAATACTATACAGGTTAATAATGATTCAGTGAATTTGATTCGAACGAACACGAAGTGTAAGAAGAATATTTTGTATTATTATATTTTATTTCTGTTACTTATAATGTTTGGAAACAAATATTTATGGCTGTGACAATGCCTTGGAAACTAAAAGATCACAAAAATATTTTGTTAATCTTTGTGTTTATAACACATGGTTACGGTTGTGACAAAACAGTAAATATCATAAAACTATGTCGAGGTTTATTTTTAGGTGATTTTGTGTTCCGGTTTTTAATAGTTAATTTTTTGATATTTGTGTTATTTTACTCTTACTTATGTTTGTAACAATATTCTGAAACCCTATGATCTCATCAAAGTGTAGATTTTAAGTATCACAAAACTTTTTAAAGTGGAATTTAAGTTTTATGTTCTGGTTTTTCATAACTCTATCAAATACATTTGTAACAGAACAACTCGACCACATTAAAAAATGTTTGTTGGTCTTCCTTGATCTGAAGAAAGCATCCGACACCGTCTCCCTCCCTACGCTTTTGCATAAGCTTGAAAAAATTGGAATCAGAAGGATTCCGCTTGCTCTTTTCGAAAGCTATCTATCGGAGAGAAAACAAAAGGTAAAGCTTCCTGGGTTCATTAGTGGGGAAACGGTGGTGTCATCATATGGCGTTCCACAGGGTAACGTTCTGGGGCCGACCTTATTTCTAATTTATGTCAATGATCTGTGCAGTATGACCATACCAAATGCCAAAATCCTGTCGTACGCCGATGACACGGCTGTGGTTTTTGCTGATGAATCTTGGGAGGCTGTCAAGACTAGTGCTGAAAGTGGTCTAGCTCGAGTCGCTCTATGGTTGCAACAAAATCTCCTCACTTTGAATACAGCTTAAGACAAATTTTATTTGCTTAAGCATTACCAACAATTTGCAGCCACAGAATGACTTTTGCCTTAAAATTCATGCGTGTTTTGAGGATGCTAAAAACAAAGCTTGTGACTGCCCATCAATTGAAAAAGTCTCTCACACTAAATATCTGGGCATCTTTATAGATCAGAGGCTATCGTGGTACCCACACCTTGAACATGTCATTAAGAGGACCCGAAAATTGATTTGGATTTTCAAAACTCTAAGACACGTTATATCTGAGAGTACTAAGAAGTCGGACTCTCCCAGATATCTCCTTAACCAAATATACACGTCCCTTGCACTATCTATTATAACATATTGTAGTGGGGTGGAGCTGCAAAGACCCAATTTATTAACTTGGAAAGAGCCCAACGAACCCTTATTAAGGTCATGTATTTTAAAAAAGACGTTTTTCCACTGAACAACTGTATAGAATAAGTGGTCTACTCTCAGTTAGACAATTATATGTTACTATGACAATTCTCAAAGCACACAAATCCCTGCCCTTTGACCCATGCATCTTGAAAAACGGCGAAAAGATGTTGTGGTTAAGCCTTCTGGTACCAAAACAGTTTTTGCTAGTAGGCAATTTAGCTCATATTCTGCATTCCTATATAATAATAATAATAATAATAATAAAATAAAAAGGCGTAGGGAAGTGACGACCCCATCGCCCACTGACGTAACAGTTATGTGATAAAACTACTACGTCGGCGCAGTCAGTCAGCGCCCTGCCAAGAGGTGTGAGCGCCGTGCCTAGGCAAAATTGTGGGTGCAAAGGTCCGTTTGTGCATATGACCGAACCACGAAACGGTGCCGGGCTTGGGCGTCTCCCGTTATTTGGCGCCATTAATGGATGATGGTACAAAGAGGAACGCGCATAGGGCCGCTGCCTGGGGATCGCCGGGGCGCGTCTGGAGCTGGCGCTGGACGCGACAGCATGCGGGCCGCTAGCCGAGCGCGAGGAGCTGTACGATCACCTAGCAGCCCTCCGCATCCATCATCTCCACCAAAAGGCTTGGTGTCGGCTGGGTTTTCTCGGACTCAGCAAGCAGCACCCGCCGCTGGTGGAGCACGTCGCATGCGTTGGTCACAAACAATGAACGAAAACGCACTGCGGGCGTACTTTAGTGCAAAAGGGGAAGAAGCCGGATGTTTGGCATATCGGGCTCGGATGCATCGCTTTTTTGCAGAGCTGGAGCCATCTCTATCCGTCACTGAGCAAAACCTGGCAGACCGAGTTCGGTACATCCTGCGCTCTAACATATTTGGTGACGCCGAACTCGAACGACTACGATGTGAGGCTGTTCCCTCATCGGATGGAAATGCTACGGTTGGGAATGCGGCCCCACTAATTGCGCAGCAAACTGCAAATGTGGACGCTGATGATGGAATAGTTCCCCACGAACTAGAGAAAATGAGGAGCATATTGGAAGAGTCGATGCTGGAAACGCGCAGCATGCCTCTCGAAAATTGACCGCGACTTCCCCGCTTACCCCTTAGCAAGCGAAATCGGGCTGTCGTGCGGGCTCTTAACCCAATGCTGGTGACCTATTTGGAAGCCAGCCGGGACCTTTGCGAGACGGACTCAGTTCTTTTCGGCGCCGCACTGGCAGTATGCCGTATTATTGGCGCCAAACTTCCCATGGCTGGACGTGCTACTCAACAAGGTATTGCCATCCCAGCCTGGAGAAAAAGAATCGAGGACCGTATCGCAAAGGCAAGGGCCCTTATCGGCAGACTGATAAGCTTCAGGTCGGGTAATAATAGACCGAGAGTTGTGCGCACCGTTAGAATGTCGTTTGCTGGGACAAATATTAGTTTGTCCCAGCCTGATATCACGCAGAAACTAACGGAGCGCATAGATGACCTGAAGCAAAAAATCGCTGCTTGGGGGAAGCGGATTCGACGATTTAGCGAGAGGTCAAGGCGGTTCAACCAGAATCGTCTCTTCCAGAGTGATCAGAAGAGGCTCTATAAATCATTGGAGCGACCAGAGGTATGTGGAGTGGGCCCAGGATCGAATCAGGCTGACACTGTCGCATTTTGGCGTGGCCTGTGGTCAGAGCCCGTAAAACACAGCGAGGGCCCTTGGATGGAAGTTCTGGCGAGCCAGAGTGCAAGTGTTACGCCTATGGACCCCGTCACCATAACGCCTGAAGACGTGGCTGAAGCGGTCCGTAGGGCCCCGAACTGGAAAAGTCCGGGGCTCGACGGGCTGCATCATTACTGGCTGAAGGGGTTCGTAGTGTGTTACGCTGTGCTCGCCCGACAGTATCAAGAGGCTCTCGATCAGAAGTCGCTCCCGAGCCTCTTCACTACTGGGATCACTCACTTGGTTCCTAAAGATCAGGATACCACAGACCCGAGCAAATACCGCCCCATTACGTGTCTACCCACTATATATAAGACACTGACATTCATTTTGAGCGCGAGAATCACTCATCACCAGGAGCTAAATCAGGTGATGTCACGCGCTCAAAATGGATGCCGGGGCGGTGGTCGTGGAACCAAGGAACCACTCCTCATTGACGCGGTCATTGGCAAAGTGGTGAAAGGCTAACTGTCGGACTTCTCCGCAGCTGGATAGACTACAGTAAAAGAATTCGACTCGAGCAGTGCCCCATACATGGGGCGAGTGTCCTTGAGCGTACAAGATAGACTGTACTACATGATGGCTGCGGAGAACCACATAAGGATAAGAAGGGGTATCTTCCAGGGCGATTGTCTGAGTCCAATCTGGTTCTGCCTCTCTCTGAACCCACTCAGTACCTTACTGAAGGGCTCCGGGAGAGGATTTCAGCTACGGAAGAGAGGAACAAAAGTGACCTACCTTTTCTATATGGATGACCTCAAGTTATTCGCCTCCAATCGCTCCCATCTTATGGAATTGCTAAACATCACATGTGAATTTAGCAATTCTATTGGAATGGAGCTGAGGACGGATAAGTGTGCGGTCCTTCATGTTGAAAGGGGAAGGGTTGCTAACTCTGAGGGCATAGAGTTATCTATGCCCGTCAACTTAAAGACCCTTTCCGAGGCTGAAACATACCGATACCTGGGTATGTCACAGAATATCGGTATCGATGAGGCTGGTATGAAACAGTCAGTTTGCGACGTGTTTTATGCACGCTTGACCAAAGTGCTTAACAGCCTTTTGTCCGGTGTGAATAAAACACACGCATATAACGGTTGGGTCATGCCTGTCCTCATATATACCTTTGGCATACTCAGGTGGACTCAGACCGAACTTAACGCCCTGGATAGAAAAGTCCGCACTACCATGACGTCCCATAGGATGCATCATCCGAGATCGTCGGTAATGAGGCTGTACTTGCCGCGAAAGCATGGTGGGCGTGGTTTTCTGAGCGCGCTCACCATGCAAAATTGCGAAGTGTGCAGCCTCCGTGATTATTTCCTGGCGAGAACGGATGATCCATTCTATAATGAAGTCATTACTAGTGATAAAGGGCTTACCCCTCTATCCTTAGCCAACGAGCAATGGCAGGACCCAGCAGTGCTTAGCATTTCCGACCGGGAGACCGTACGGAAGGAGAAGGAGCTCCAAGGGAGGTACTACAGGACTCTTCATGAGCCCTTCGTAGATACAGTCGCCTCCCTCAACTGGCTAGGTTTCGGTGAGCTCTTCGGGGAAACCGAGGGTTTTGTCTGTGCAATACAGGATCAGGTTATTAAGACCAACAACTATCGGAGATACATCCTAAAGGATGGCACCGTCTGTAGAGCTTGTCGCCATCCCGGTGAGTCACTTAGGCATGTCATCTCCGGTTGTTCGGCGCTTTCTAACTCTGAGTACTTGCAAAGACTCAACCTAGTAGTCAGGATTCTACACCATAAGCCAGCTGTGATTGATATACGGTCTCGTGCATCGAAAACTGCCTTATTATAAGTAATTGCTGTGGAATCTGTACTCAAAAATGACCGCGCCAGGCTGTATTGGGACCAGGTCATTATCACCGACAGGACTATTCTTGCGAATAAGCCTGATATTGTGCTGATGGACCGGGCACAGTCAAGGATATTTTTGGTCGATATTACCATCCCGTATGACGAGAACCTCGTGAAAGCCGAAACAGATAAGCAATCAAAATATCTGGACCTGGCTCACGAGGTGACCGACATGTGGGGTGGTCTGCCGACCGAAATTATTCCTGTAGTCGTCTCTGCGAATGGGCTAATCCCAGTTAGCCTCTCTGGTCATCTGAGGCGACTGGGACTCCGTGACGGACCGCTCCGGGCTCAAATGCAGAAGGCGGTGCTCCTTGATACTGCCCGCATCGTCCGCCGGTTTCTTTCCCTTTCTCTCTAACCCTTGGCCGTTTGGTCTCCCCTGCCGAGAGCTTCCATTTTGTTGGGCTTTCATTTATTTATGTATTTTTGTATTTATTTTATTTTATTGATATTTATGTATATTTATCTTTTCATTTTCATTTATAATTATATATTTATACATCCCAACCAGATGAGAAAACTATATACATAGATACCCCACATAATAATAATAATATTCCACAACTATCACACAACGCCATCTAGTCCCTAGAGCCCCTAGAGCTAAGCAGAGCTTGTGTTATGTGTACTAGACAACTGATAAACATACTTATATATTTCTAAATACATAATATTATAGATAAATTGCACCCAGACACAGAACAAATGATCGTGCTCATCACACAAACATTTGTCCTGGGTGGGAATCGAACCCACGACCTCCGGCTTAGCAGTCAGTGTCACTAACCACTAGACCAACAGGCCTGTAAAAAATAAATAGAGAATTGAACATATACGACAAAACGTACAGGGAGTGTAAAAACCTGATACTAAAGTGGGTGCAGTCGAAAACTTATGAAGAAACCGAATTTCTGCTGTACCGCATTTCATAATTCACTTCTATGTACACTATAACAAAATAAATCTTCATACACTCACACACACACACACACTACACACACACATACACACACACACACACATATACGCACACACACACACACATACACTTTTGTAATTTTTGTAAATTTTGTTTGTTAAAGTCGAGTAATTTGTTTTTGTCATTTTGGTTTTTAAATTAAAAAATGTATGTTTAGATAAAGGAAGAGTGGGATTTCCAAACACAGGCATTACTTGCTTAAATGAAGATCCCAGTCAACTATGTCATTAATTTAGGTTTTGTGAAAAAAATATTTTTATTTTTATTTTATTTAATTACATTTTATGAAGCTTTTTATATAATTTGATAAATGATTTTATATTACACATTTTTAAAAACATTATTTTTGAGGAAAAAAAGATATATATATATATATATATATATATATATATATATATATATATATATATATATATATATATATATATATATAACCGCTGCTTAGTGACCGAAAGTTTTTTTTAAAATAAATATTGATTAAAATAAAGAGACTTACATTACGAAATAATTACTTGATAAGTAAAATGGAAATAATTTTATCATTGCAACCTTATTTCATTCGTAATAAAAGTGATGTTTTTACAGAATCGTCTTTTATTATTAAATTTTTGATGGCAAAATTAATATGAATAAATTAAAAATATATAATATCATATGTGTGCTAAGTATAAAAGCCGCATATGGCTTTTTGCGCATTTTTAACTCAATTGAAAGTGATTCGTATAATTTTTTGTGCTAAAATAAAACGCTTTTTTTAGGTTTTTATTGTTAACAATAAATAAAATAAAAAAATCCAATACATAAAATAAAAATGCACAAAATAATATCATATATTAACATTATGACAAAAAAAAACATAATTGCTACACCGCAGGCTTTTTCCTGTTTTGTCATTTCAAGAATTTTTTTCTCGAAATTTACTTTTTGTTGGATGGTAAAAGGTCCATCCAACAAAAAGTAAACCAACGGGGGCAGGATAGCTAACCGCAGCTTTGTATTATTTTGAGTTGTTATCAGGAAGATGATGCTACTGCTCATATCCTGTTTTGTTTCCTGCTGGCACTTTTTACGACACTCACTCTACAACTAACACCAATGTTATCATTTTCAGTATCCATGTACATGTTTATAAATAATTATTTATAAAACTAAGACATGCAAATTGTAACGCTTCCTCCCTCTCACAATAAAAAAATATTATATTAAACATAATTAATATAAGTAATTTACCCCTTTTCGATAAAAATTATAAATATGTGACCAGGATAAATAAGATATATTTGATCTTTCTAAATGATCTTTCAAAAGGTTTATTAATAGGCCGTTTGTAATATTTTGGCGTGATCGTCTTAGTTAGGACCCTTATTAACGTTGTGTTTGTCTAGTAACTTAGTTCTTTTAGGTGTCTTTTGGAAGAATGAATATTCACTAGAGCAATTGAAAGCTGTTGGTAGTGCCCTATAAGCTAAGTGAACTCCGCTCACGAAGACAGGGCTCGATAAATGTTAAGAATGTGGCGTCATTAA